GCCTGACCCTGACCCTGCACACTCTCTGCTAGATTTATTCCTGGGTTGTTATTATTTTTTGTTACTCTCATAAATGGCACATTTAGAAACTTTACATGTTCTAACTATTACTGGTATGTAGCAATACAACAGATTTTATATATTAATTTTTGCATCCAATGCTCAATCCCTTGTTGGAATGTATCACATCTTCAAGAAACTAAGAAAAAGTCTATGGCATGTAAATTTTCTAAGGTTTAAATGTCATGCATATTGAAGACCATAAGGAATGTGGGTTTTCTTGCCTATGTCTTCATGCCTGCTTTGATTAGTCTCGGATTTATGAGACATCAGATTGATTCATCTTTCAAATCTTGTGGTCATTCGTCTTTGCCAGGGAAGTGATATATTTTCCTGGGTGACTGATTCAAGAGTAATGATTTTTGTTGTTGCCTCCTGTGCATCCAGACAGATCTGGGCTCAGGGGAGTGGTTTAGTCACGTTGTCTTCATTCACTGTTGTCCTGTTCTCTCGCCACTGTCCTTCCTTTTCACTTTTCTTTCCTAGACTCCTTTTCTAAATCTCGTCTCTTTCTTAACTAATCACCCCTTCCTGGCTTTTTCTCATTTTATTCAGAATATGAAATGGAAGTCACATAATGATGCTTACTTCATAAATTTAGGAAGTATAATATCTGGTCATCTTAGCCTGAAGACTTATGTGAATTATTTACAGAATAGAAATGTCATAGGTATAATCGTATTTTAGCACCTCTCGATCTGTGTACTAGGAACTAGTCCAAATTTTTGTATAAGGCTGTGAGACTTCCTGTAAAGGAAGTCACTTATGTTTAGAAAAGAGCGGATTGAAATGGACAAGAATATCTGGCAAATGAGCTTCAATTTGACATGAGCTGTGACTTGCCAACATCTTTAATGTCTAGGAACCCTCCTTTGCTTTAGTAAATTTACTTATGCAAGTATCTCCTCTGTCAAAATGCTTCATTTTTCCTCCATGAGCTCTGAGCACACTGAACTGTAAAATTAAACCACATTTCCTCATTTGAAATTGCTAAACTTCCTCCTCTGGAATTTCCTGTGATGAACCACCAGGAGAAAAGTCAGAGTGAATAAGCAAAGAGGTTATTGAATACTTTTTTTTTTAAAGGGTGTGTCTAAAATATGGGCAACTAATCTGGGCAGGGATGGTTGCTGGGTTAATGTGTGCGGTGAGACATTGGTCTCTGAATTTCCAACATTGCCAAATCTGTCTAATTCAAATGTCCTTGAGAGGAGAACTATGTACTTAGGATTATTTAAGACTGCAACTATTGTTACCTAACAGACCCATGAAAGCATTATTTTTGTTTATTTCAACTCTGTCTACCATGGTTACGTTGTAAGTTGGTCCTGGGTATGCCATCTAGTGAATATTGTTTAATATATTATATAAATGTGTCGTTCAATTGTTCTCAACCCTGGCTGCACGTTAGAATCCCAAAGGGAACTTCAAAACATGTACACACCAGAGTCTGGGCCCCTCACCAGCCCAATAAAATCAGAATATTCTGGGCAGGGCTCGGGCATCCATGTTCTTTTAAAAGCTCTCCTGGTGGTTCTAATGCACAGCCAGAGTGGAGAAGTACTGGTTTGATGGAATAAGTATATATCGTTTGTTGTAATCTTCACGTGTTGGAGATTTTTTTCTCTTAATTTTTTAGCGATTTGAAAGTAGAGCTGATTTAGCAAGGAAATTGAATTTTCATAGCAAGATTTCTTGCAAAGGACTTTCTTATCTAAGCTGAAACCTTTTAAGTGTACTTTTGAGAAGGTCTCTCCCAGCATCCTTATAATCTTGAAAGAAAAAAGTACTTCTCCAGATATTGACACGTTGCATTCCAGGAATTTTGAGTTATGTGCAGGATGAAAAGAAACTCATTGAAATTCTCTTTAGATGTCTACGAAAATCTACCTTAAAAGGATTTTTCAGTAATTATCCATTTTCCCATTGTTAGCGTGGTACAGGAAACTTAGTTCCCTCTGTTTACCTTTTTCTAGGTTTGAGATTAGTCTGTGCCACTTTTTTGATATAGGATATTGACCAAGTATCTTAACCTCATGGAAAGTCAATTGTTTTAGCGGTACAATGGGCCTATAATACTTTACACAGTGTGGATGAGATAGAAATGAGACCTCTGTAAATCGTGAAGTACTATTTAGCAGTAAACAAATTGAATCATATTATTCTCCTGAGACCAAGTGATCATCCTTCTTTTTTTTAATCAGTGGGAAGTGCATTTGACAGCTCAGTATGCATTAAGAAGTGTATATACCCATATATAGAAAACACTTCGCCTCCCTTTTGCCCACCCCCAGAAGGTCCAGGCAGCTTCTTTCTGTGAAGAGTGGGGAAGAGAGATCTCAGGATGATTCCTAAGTTCTCATTGAAACCTGTTCTTTGCCTGTCTAAATATTGCCCACCTCCAGCTCCAGTTCAGGGGTCCAGGTCACCAATTGTCTTTATTTTTTATCCTGTTTTTTTCCTTTTAATCAGGAATACAAACTGAAATTTGCTCTGACTTATAGGATATTTTGCGAATGTTTTGTCTGAATATTGTAACTTGTCATAATAAACATGATCATATTTTAACATCTAAAAACGCTATTCATTTATGGGGGAAATGAGTCGAGTTTAAGCAATTTAATTTTGAGGAAATTGGAGAAATACACCTTTCTCCTCAATTAATTATGATAGTTCTCAAGGCTGTATCTGCCGGTGTTTAAATCCTTTAACTGTAGAATTGGGAGGAATATCCTAAAATTTTAGAAGACAAATGACAATCAGTTAACTTACAAGTTAAATGTTTGTGTAAAGCATCTTTATATCCTTTGTCAAAATATGGCTTTCCTACGGAAAAGTACACAAATCATAAGTGCACAGCTCAGTTAATTTTCACAGTGTGCAACACATCCATGGAACTAGCCCGCAAATCAGGACAGACAGCATTAATAGAACCCTGAAGATCCCCTTTTCGCTCCTTTCCAGCAATCACTCATCTAGCACCATAGATTCATTTTCCCTGTTTTTGAAACTTGTGTATCAGTTAAATCATGCAGTTTGTCCCTTTTTTTTGAGAAGGAGGAGGACCTGGGCTTCTTTTGCTCAATTATTTATGTTGTATGTTATAAAAAGTTAATTTATTCTTGTTGTCGTACAGTGTTCCATTGTTTGGATGTACACACAATTTATTCATTCTTCATTTGCTGGATATTTTGGGTTTCCAGTTTTGGCCATTATGAACCATAGTGCTATAGACATTATATGTGTCATTTGACAAAATATATGTATATTTCTGTTGGGATGTATGTACAGGTGAAATGCTGAGCCGTGTGTGTTCAGCTCCACGAGCTACTACCAGTTTTCCAGTTTATACTCCCATTAGCAGTGTATGAGAGTCTTAATTGCTTCACATTTCTTGGCACCACATAATGTTAAAACATAATAAGTTAAGGATTCATGTTGTCAACTTTAGAGTAACTAATAAAAGAATAGCAAAAGGATATATAACTGGCAAGTTAATAGGTAGGAGACTGAAATAATAAACACTTTGGTTAATCCAGAAGAAGGCAAGAAAAGAGTAAAACAGTTGAGTCACATAGAAAATAGTAATATGATTGCTGTAAACCCAATATATCAGTGATTTCATTAAATGTAAATGGGCAACATACTCTAATTAAAGGAAACTGCTTGTAAGACACATATCTTAAAGACACAGGAAGATTAATAATAAAAGGAGAGAAAAAATTATATCATGTAAGCATTAACCAAAAGAAAGCTGATGTGGCTATACTGATGTCAGATAAAGTGGACTTTAAAGTAAAAAGGATTTTTAAAGATAAAAGACATTTTGTAATGAATAAAAGGGTTGACTAGTCCAGCTCCTGGTTAAAAACCTATGTGTGATTTTTCAAGCCCAAACATCAGCAATTGCGAAGCTTTGCCTGGCAGGCCTCATGTGCAGGAAAGGTGCCCTCCCCAAACCAGGCTTGGTGCACAGCCACGCACTGAAGTCCCTGAAGGGAGGCACAGTCAGGACTCAGACCCCGGTGGCTGACCATATTCTTATACACGGCTGCATTCCCAGCCCGGGTGCTTCCGTGTGGAGGCCTCTTTATCAGGAGCCATCAGCAGAGGTCTTCCTTAAGCACCTCTGCCTGCCACCTTAGCAGGAAAAAGAGGGGAACTTTGAAGATCCTTTTTCTCCACTTTGACTCAGTACTCAGTACTTTTCCCACTCGTCGCTCGTCTCCCTCTCCGTCTCCTGAGCCCCTGGGTCCACGATACTGGAGGAGCCTTTTGTTGGGGCTCCCTCAGCAGTGGGCGATCCCCGCCTCTCCGCTGGTCTACCTGCCCCTCCACCAGCATGCCATTCCAGGGGGGAACGTGGGCTGGGAAGCTGGTGCTGTCTCGGGTTTAGCTTCTTGCTTATACCATCACAGTAAGTGTTAAAAGGCTTGACTGACTTGCTTTTTTAGCGGGTTGCTTTAATCTACCACTCTGAGACCTGGCAGCGCTGCTGAGTTCCTGACAGCTGAATGCACCAGGAAGCTATAACAATTCTAAGGTTTTATGCCCCTAATAACATAGCTTCAAGATTCATAAAGCAAAAACTCATGGATACTTACATTTGTTTAAGTATAACATACACACAGAAAAGCATACGGGTCAAGAGTGAGTTGTTGCAAAGTGGGGATATCAGCATACTCAACGTTTGCAACATTCCCAGCAGCTCAGAAGGCTCCCTTGAGACACTTCCCCATCACTACTCCTTTGCTCTTCCCTAAAGGTCACTACTGTCCTGACCTCTAATGCAATAGACTCGCTTTGCCTGTTTTAAACTCTATATAATGGAATTATCCATATTTATTCTTTTATATTTGGCTTTTCACTAATATTATATTCGTTAGATGTGTTTTTAAACTTCTGCTAAGTATTAACTTGCTATTATCTTATCATTTCAGGTATTTTAGAAAATAATTATGAGAGCTTACGTGTACTAAATGTTGAAAGAAATGGAAATATTATTTATACCTATAAGGTACATTGGTATTCTTTCTTTTTTTTTACTGTGGTAAAATATACATAACATAAAATTTACTATTTTAACCATTTATATTCTCTTTTTATAGAATTTTATGCTATATCTTATTGAGGGATAATGAATAAACCTTGGCATTTAATCTTTAACAGATGACTTTTTTATGTTGTGAGATTAAACGGGTGATTCAAATTCAGTCTCGTGAAATGTTTTCTCTTTTTAAAATAAAATAAAAATCTACACAGTGTCTGACACAGTGGTCACATTTTTTGAATAAATGAGCAGGTCCATTTTCTAGAGGGAAAATGCCAAGTAAAAGATGTTTAAACCTAATTAGTGTGTGCAAATTTTATCTTTGAGAAAATATTACATATGATTGCATCATCTGTTCAGACTTAGAAACGCTCATCAAACTTTTGAGGCATTATTATTGAACAATGTGTTTCCAATGTCAAGTGTTCTAAGGAAAAACAGTTTAATTTACTGATAACTTTACTATAGTAGGGAACATGAAAGAATAATTTCAGTGGCCAGTTTGCTTTGCACAGTTGTATCACTGTACTTTTTTTTTTTTTTTGCTTAAAAAATGTTATTTTAAGTTATTCCTATAAGTATGCTGCATGTAAGGAATTGTGTGATTCAAAAAGTCCTACCTAGAAGACTATCAGGGACTTGTTCTCACCACTCCCAATGTCCATCATACGGTTTATATTCTCTTAAAAAAATAAATGGAAGTACAAAAAGATTTGCTTTTTCACCATCCTCAGTGCTACTAGACAGGGTCCCTGAAACTCACGGAGCTGTACATCCTTAGTCCACTGCTCTCTTCGAGCCTGTGTGCAGGTTCAGTCTCTTTCTGACCTGCACGGCAAACTACCTTTACGGTGCTTATTGCTAATATTAGCTGAATTATTGCAGGTTTATTTTGAAACTAGTAATATCTTAACTTCCTAAATAATGACCTTTAATAAACATCTAGTTAATTTTTTCTAGGATGATAAGGGAAACGTCTTCTTTGGATTATTTGATTGTCACACCAGACAAAATGAGGTAAAAATCACCATAAATCATAGATTACTCCTTGATTACTGCTTTTAGAATTTTCCTTCTTTCTGCCTCCTGCTTTTTATAGATACAAATTCTCATTTTTCTAAAAGTTTAGTTTTTATTTCTTTGCCTTCCTTTCTCTTCTCCCTCTTACCATCTCCTGGCACCATTTTCTTAAAAAAAAAAAAAAAAATAGTGCAAGGACTCCTAGACCAAAACTTCAGCTGAAGTCTCTTAGTCCTTTGAGATTCAAGCAAAATTGGCTCAGATCAATTAACCAACATCCCATAGGAATGCGGGAAGTCCAGTGTCCTCCCCGAGATTCCTGTGCTCCCAGGGGCTTAGGATCACGTCGTGTCCCCGGGCTCTGGTTCTGCTTCTGCTGAACCTGCAGCTGCCTGGCTTCTCATTGCTTCTCAAAGATCCAGGTATGGACCCAAGCCACTCACATAAGGCATTGGCTGATGTGACAGGTTTGCCTAATTCTTGGGGCAAATGGGAGCGAGTCATTTTGTGCCTACGTAAAAACAATTTCCAAATATTAAGGGATTAAGAAGTCTATAAATGTACACTGGCACAGAAGGCCCTCTAAAACACATTGTTACATGAGAAAAGCGTGTTGCCAGAATAGTACATTCCGTTCATATTTTTTAAAAACTTGCCAGAAAACTATGCAATATATATGCATAAATATATATGAAAAGATCTGGAAGGCTACAGAGCAAATTACCAACGTGTTTCCTCTTGGAAGGGGGTTAGGGTTGGGTGAGCGTAACGAAGAGCCTGGAGTTTTTATTTGGTAGTATTTGAATGTTTTAAACCCTGAGACGATGTTTATGTGTTATTTTATAATTAAAGGGACAAAACACTAAAAATTAACTGCATACATCCATGATTCTTGTTATAAATTAGAATCCCTCACTTAGAGCAGAGTCCAAGGAAACCAAAATCTCTCAGGTGAATTCAGAGGCTTCTTATTAACTCAAAGTTCACTTTCTCCAATCAAGGGTTGCCTGACTTCCCAACATTTTCCATCATCTTTTGGCCATGAGATTCTAGTGTGTTCTCAGTCCTGTTTTATTCCCTCTTAATACTTCTGCTACTCGCTCTTTCTCTTAGCCTGTTCTCTCCAGAGCTCTAAGATTTATCTTTCCTTACTCTCCGAGATATTTTAAGAGGGTTTGCCTAATGTAACTGTGATTGACTCCGGTTCCTCAATCTGCACAGCACTTCCTGTTTCTGCATGACTTTTCTCATTTTCTTTAATATTTGAGGAAATAGAATCTTGCAACATTTTAAAGTGTGAGAAAATCAAGATGAAATAAAGTGAAATGACTTTGCCAATGCTCTAAGGAAGAGAGTCCCGTGAGAGTGGCACTTGTGATTGTCTCTTAGACATAGTTAATGATATCAGAGTGATGGGATTTGATTGAAACTTAACTTCCCTCAATAATCGTAATAGCAACATTTGAGTGCTTATTATGTGTGGTAGACATTGTAATAAGTGCTTCCTATAGATTATCTCACTCCATCCTTCTCATGATCTCATGAGATAGATATTAGGATTCCTACTTTACTGATGGGAGGACAGAGAGGTTGAATAATTTGTCCAAAGTCACACAGCCAGACAGTGGCAGACTCAGGATTTGAACCTGGGTCTCTTTTGGTTCCAAGGTCTGTGCTCTTAATCACTAAGCTCTGTTGCCTCATGGTTAAGTTTCAGTGCCAAACGTGGCCTACAATAGTAAACTTTTTTCTTAAAAAATAATCTGAAACTTCTCAGTATGGATAAACCTGCTTCATGGATGGTTCTTTAGCGAAATGTTTTGCCACGATGATACCTGGTAGAGCGCTAAATGGGAATTTGTATTCATAAAGTTATTTAATATGAAACTCCAAATTAAAAAACACTTTTTGTTTCAATAGCATCTCTATACATTTGAGAAAGACTTGCAAGTTGTCAGTTGCTCTGTCAACAGGGAGAGAACTTTGCTTGGTAAGTGGAATTCTTTTATTGCTACGTGTCAAGAGCTAAACTGCATTTTTTGAGTTTCAAAGTATTGGATTTTTGCAGTGTTTGTGTCTTCTATAACGATGATTTTCTGAGAAGAGATGTTCTTGGGAGGTTCGATTTGGAATGAGCGATCTGTAGAGTCTACCTACAAAAAAGGAATGCTTTGTGTTTTACCTTAATCAACACTGACAGATCCTTTGAGCCCTCACTCATTTCAGGTGTAAAATGGTAAACTTTAACAAGCCGCTGCATGGATCATTTGCTGATGGATTATTTTTTCTTTTCCCGTTAGCTGCAAGTTTAGTTCAATCTACTAAAGAAGGAAGAAGAAATGAGCTTCAACCAGGTAATGAAATGATACTTTCAGTGCCTGTTGATAGAAGAAGATTTATTGAACTACTGAGGCAAATGTCAAGCATCTTTACAAATAGCTTTATCTCAGAATGAAAAGGCAAAGGTCATGTCAAGAATGAAAGAGAGTGTTTTTAAGTTATTCTTTTCAAGTAAATAAGAAAGTACAGAAAATAATATAACAGTAAATGTCAGAAGTATTAAAAAAAAAAGCAGTTAGCACCTGCAGACTAAAACATTGAGAACACACTAGAACCCTATGGTCAGAAGGTGGTGTGAAAGGTTGGGAAAAGGTTGGTATTCCTTCAAGAATACTATTTTTTTCTTATATCTGGTGAACTGTTGACCAATGCATAATGCATTATGAACAGTCCGCCAATTATGAATAGTCCGCCAGTTCTAAATAAAAATCAGTTCTTTTCATTTCCCAAGCCTCACTTCATAGTTTGTGATCTATGAAATGCCCTCCCCGCCCTTGACATTCGACATCATCTGTCTGTCAAGAACTCAACAAATATTGAGTGCCTGCAGTGGGCCAGGCACCGTGCGTGGTGCTGGGGGTACAGGGGCATGCAAGAGAGGCTTGGCAATTGTCCTCATGGCAAGCAAGCTATAGGGACTCATGGTGGGTGGGGGTGTCCCATGGGGCATATGTCCCCCATCCAGAGTGGGGACAATGAGCCCAGTCGGACTAGCTTTTCAATTTATCAAGAGAAGTATAGACTTTTAAGTAAAAATTTAATTTTTAAATGTTGGCTCAAATATTTTTAAAAATTGTCCTCAGGCAATGATAACCCCCTGTGGCTGGATGTAGCCTGTGGACTACCATTTTTCAACCTCTGGTCTAGTGCATCTCATTTTTATCTCTTACTGTTCTGATCCTGCAGTGCTTTCCATCTGTTCTGTTTATTTAGCACTTAAACTCCTTTTGTTAGCATAGTTCCCGCTCAGATATAGTCTCCTGCAGTTGCATGTGATGGAAAAAGCCCTTGTACATACTTTCCACATGAGGCTTAGGAGGCAGTCCCGGGCTCCCACAGAGCCAGTTTAGAGTGTCAAGGGAGCCAGAACCAAGGCTGGATGGGACCTCATCAGGGACCTCAGCACGAGAGCTTATGGGAGCTGTTGGCGGGCTGGAGGCTTCCCCTGAAATCTCATCATTTGTGTTAGTCATCCTTCCCCTCCCTCTTGCTCTGTTACCCTGAGGACCGCAGCAACCCTCTTCCCTCTCCTGTGCCGTGTCTGCCTCTTAGCATTGTCTGCTCCTCTTAGAATTAGGGGCAAAGCTCCCTTCAGAGGTGATGGACCTGGCCTAGCTTAAGGAAAATAGGATCTAAGACACTGGTATCCTGATCCCTAAACCAAGGGTCTGGGCAAAACCAGGAGATGACCCTGATCTCCTGGGCTAGTAAACCCCTTTATCCAAGAAGAGAAAGGCCTAGTTGCTTGTGTTCCTCCAAAACACAAGGCTGGGCGTCTATACAGAACCTTGGCTTGGCTCCCTGCACCTCCCAGTTCCTCTTGCGCCTTATTCATTTTAGCTTTAGAAATTCTTTATTATGCTGGTAAACACAGTAGAAACTATAATCTTTATGTCTACCATCTATGGCTGATTAGCATGCAGAACAGTGGCAATTATATATATTATACAGTGAACTTTCAGACCAACTTTATTGTAAGTTTTGATTACGACCTTGACTCCCATTCAGCTGTGCTGACTCAGTCTCAAAAGTTGGATGCACCTGTAGTGAGATGATCTGGTCGCATCTTTAGAAATACTAGAATGGACATTGTTGGTGATTGTGGTAGATGGCTCATGCTTTCGATCTTCTTAGCTCACCTTTTATGCCAGCCCTGCCGTGGGAGCCAGCTCTGCCCGAGTGTAATCTGGCAGACAGTGCCTCCCCTCAGCTACTCTGCCAACTTCTTACTCTTTGCCCAGAGCCCTTGGGAAAATCTGTTTGTATCACCTGGAAGTATGTACGGTTGGAAAAGATTCCCAATAGGGTAAGCCATGATGAATGGGGGCAAGGAACTGAAGGATAAATACCCCCTCTTCCATCCCTAAAGCGGGTATTCTGGGGTGCACTCTGTGCAGCTCAAGACCCCCGGTGGTCGCTCACTTGATGATGCCCCACATCCTGACTTTGCTTTCTTCCCTTTCGCTCTCCCACTCCCTCACGCCAGCCCCTCGTGGCAGAGCTGATCCTGTTCCCTGAGATCACTTCTTGTCTTAGCTTGGGTTTCTCCCTGAGTAGAGTCTGAGCGCCATTAGTTTATTGGGGGTTTGATCCTAGGAAACACTGTTAGAGGAGTGTTGAAACAGTGATCTGAAAGTGGGTAGGGAGAGCGCGTGGCCCTGAGGAGACCCGCTTCTGGCAGCGGCCGCGGACAGGCCCTGAGGCCGGAGTGTGCTTGTGGCTGCAGGTCAAGGATGTGAGGAGGTCACTGAGGCACAGTGGCGCGCACAGGGCGGAGTGGAAGGCACGGAGGCCAGAGGGAGACAGGGGTGAGGGGCAGACGGTCCTGGAGGCCGGAGGAGGCCTTTGTTCACTTAGGGTTTCAGAAGTGACGCGGCCAGAAAGCACTATGGGATCTATTATGTTTTGTCCTTTGAACAAATATTTGGAAAGGCTTGTTTTCTGTGTCCGTGAATGCCCTGATAAGCCGTTTGATGATGAAATGTAGGTTGCCTCACGGTGTTGTTTAACTCTCTTGCTTATAATGAGATTTTTTTCCATTGCAAATGAGACCAACTGTAACATCTTTCATGTGAACAAGATGGGTTCCTTGGTCCACACACTTTACAACACAGTTTTTTTTACAACGTCAACAGTGCTTCTCTTCTTGGCCGTGGCCATGGCAGTTAGAGTTTTGTTTAGAAAATGACCCTCCGTAGGAAGCCAGGCCCAGCTGCCCCCTCACCCTCCCCTGTGGAGCTGCATGTGCCCCAAGGCCCAGCAGATGCCCCTGGGCAGCAACCGGAGTGACCGCTTGTGGACCCACTGCCCGCGCCGGGACTCTCCAGGGGCCCCATGCACCTTGTGGGCAGTCCAGTGCTGCGGACTCTCCAGGAAGCTGTGGTTTGGTTCCAGAGCTCTAAGAACCAGAGCTTCTTCAGAACCGGGCCCTCCTGGACTTTCCCGACCTTGTCACCATTTCACAACGTGGACCTTGACCTGTGGGAGCCCAGCTTCTTTTGCCCACTCTCCACCCTCCCCGCGCCAGGCCTATCCCCAGGGTTTTAAAAAACTTTTAGTCAGTTGATTTAAACTAAAACCAAAAACAAACCTAAAAAACAGTTCACCTCTTTCCCTCAACCCCCGCTCCCTGCCTCTGGCAGCTACCCGTCTGTTCTCTGTATCTGTGAGCTTGGGTTTTTGTTTGTTTGTTTAGCTGTCACATATGAGAGAGCTCCTACAGTATGTGTCTTCCTCCGTCTGTCTTATTTCACTAAGCATGATGCCCTCGAGGTCCGCCCATGTTGTGGCTTTCGATCCTGCTGTCTCTGCTTCCTGTGCTGTCCATATGCTGCCTGGCCGTGTCGTACCCTTCAGTGATGCCCTCCGGGTTTCCACTGATGTCTGGCTTCTCTGAATTCTTAAGACAACTTTAAGCCCTTCAGGGAATCACGCGATTTCATGGCTGAAAGCGATTGTAGGAATGATGTGCTTCGATAGCTTTTCAGTTTATTTTTCTAACGACAAGGCACTGAGGCCTGGGAATGCTTGGTCATTTGTTGAAAAGTATCTATTAGGTTAGTGGCAGAGCTTAAACTAGAACCAACGTCTCTAGAACCCTGATCCAGAGAGCTTCCTGTTACACTAGGAAAGCACATGGCGTGTTATTGAGAGAAATTCCTGTTTGCACGATTACTGTTATCTTAATGCTGATTCTCTTAGTTAAGTTTAGGGCTGCCCTAAAGAAGGGAAAAATGAGTGTGGGAAGATGCTTTCTGGCCTTGAAAATTTTCCTCTTTTAAAGGCAAGTGAATTTAGCTGATAGCTAGTTATCTCATTTGGGTACAAATTCGCTACCAAAAAAGGCCGAATGAAAGGTGACTCCTTATTTTTCCAACAAGGAGATTCCCCTGCTTCCTCTTACGCCTCCCCATTTTTTTTCCAATTGGAATATATAAGCTCTTAAGGCAAGAGATAAAATAGTCGAATGTCAGCTTTGTATTACTTGTTAATTTAGTTATGCACGCTTAAATAATAAGGAAAATTGCTTTCTTTCTCATTCTCACATTTCACAGAACATTTCCATTCTGTTCTTCTTCACAAGTATTTTTGACACCAATATCTTTCTTATTCCCAGAGCCATTTTTGAGTCATCAAGCAGATTCCTGAAGCACCTCACCTTGACTTCTGTCTCAGTTATTGGAAATACCGCCCTTTTGAACTGGTGTGTGATCCTGTCAATGGGATTGTCATACTGAGCTACAAGCACCCATTGACCAAACAGCATTTGCTGTTCATTTGTTCTGTCCTTGTATATTTATGATCCCAGACAATAACTCACTCACTGTCTTGCTTTTTCAGTCATCTTTTAAAGGCATATTTACAGAAATATTCAGTCCTTGCAATTATGAGGCCATATCCCAGAAATTTTTTTACATTTTTGCCTTTTTTTTTTTTTTAATAAAGCAGTGCTGTCAGGTTACTTTCTTAAATAGTGAAACCTGGCATTGATTCAGCTCCAGGCTGCTGTGCCATCCCCAAATTGAAACATTATTATTCAAAATAGTCATTGAGAAAGCATCTGAGAATATTAGAGTCTTTATAAGAACTCAAAGATAAGGCAAGTTCTTCTTTTCAGAGGTTTAATCTTGGGGGAGGGAGGCTATATCTGTGGTAACCACTTTCTAGCCTGTGTCCAAGGACTTCCTCCTAATTGCTATCTTTTGTGACCTTTGCTCAAATGTGACACAGAGGAAATAAGTGGGTCTTTATCAGTGGAGCTCCACCACCATTCCCGAGGGAAGCCACGCCCCTGTGGTCCCAACAGCTGCTGTCAACCGTAACATGTTCATGCATCAGAAATAGCTTCATATTTTCATGCACAAACATTATTTGGCATTGTGCTGCCAAATTGGAGTGACACTGAACAGAGCTGTTTGTTTAGGCTTAGAAGCAAGAGGGCGTGTGAAACTATGCTAAAAATGACTGAAGAGGGCCAGGAACTTGTTCCTCACTCCATGCACAGTGACTTCTCCTTTGTGATCTTTTCTGTGTCTATTTTGGGTTTTAAGAAATGTCAAAGTCAACTTTAAGAAAATTACTTTTCTTTGTGGAATAACTGGTGTAGCAGATGGCACATTTCCACTTTCGAGGTTGGCCTGTCTGGAGAAGATCACGTGTGGTATTCTGGTCTGCATTACTAAGAGCCTCCTTTTCTTTGTAGGATCAAAGTGCTTAACTTTGTTGGTCGAAATCCACCCCGTTAACAATGTGAAGGTTCTAAAAGCCGTGGATAGCTATATCTGGGTACAGGTAAGTGAGTGTGTGGATCCCTTCTCACGTTAATCTAAAGGCAGGAATCCTGGAGGCAATGGCTTTTGCATGTATTGTCACCTTTCATCCTCAGAACCATCTGGCAGCTGGGGATGGCTGGAACTATCTGCTCTTGCTTTGCAAACATGGAAATGAAGACAAACCTAACTCCTCTGTCTCTATTATGTCAAGGTTTGTCTGGTAGGAATATAATGTTTTACCTGACAAAATACTGAACATCAAAACACGTTTGAGGTAGGTTTGAAATGGTTTGTTTAATGTATTCATGTAGTTGGCAGATTAAACAGCTGTGATTAAATGACTTAATCTCTGAATTTATCAACTCCATGAATGGAGGCAGAAGCGCTGCATGTATAAGGCAGATGGACTAGATATAGTCAATCCTTACTACTTGCACGTTTGGAATTTGTGAATTCTACTACTTGCTAAAATTTATTTGTAACCCTAAAATCAAAACTTTACGGCACTTTCATACTCATTTGCAGACGTGTGCAAAGTGGTGAAAAATGTGTGCGCGTGTTCCCAGCTGAGGGAACAAGGTCATCTTCTGCCTTCTTGATCCAGTCTTCAGACTGTAAAGAAATGTTATTTTCATGGTCTATTTAGTGCCATATTTTTCCCTTTCTGGGGCTTTTTGTTGTTGTTTTCACTGTTTAAAATGTCCCCAATCATAGTGCCAAAGTGCTGTCTCGTGTTCCTAAGTACAAGAAGGCTGTGATGTACTTTACAGAGAAAGTATGTCTATTAGTTAGAGAAGCTTCATTCAGCCATGAATTTATAGTGCTGTTGACTGTGAGTTCAACGCTAATAAATCAACAATATATATTAAATAAGGTGTCTTTAAACAGAAACGCACATTAAACAAAGTTGTGTCTTAATTTGTTGATAAAAATGTGACTACAGGCTCGCAAGAACCTGTCCCCATATTTTCCCCAGGAGCCGTGGTCCAGTAGTCAGTAAACAGTGTTTGTGGTGACTTTATAGCTTGGAACTACCACAGGCAACAAGAATCGACTCCATGTGTTCATGCAGCATTGCATGATTTCCTTGTGTAAACTGAAGGATCTGCTCCTCCTCACTCCCTGCTCCCAGCCTTGAGCCACTGGGTCTCCCTATTGCACTGTGTCTTAGGAGAGGCGACTGTGTCTCATCGGCCCCCGGTCCTCCACTCTCAGCCAGTCCTTCCAGTTGTGTGTTTTTGCCACCACTTCTGGCTTCACTGGGGGCCGCTGCTGGCTTCCAGACAGGGCCTGGTGTGGAGCTCCTAGGCTGCCTTCCCCTCCCCCAGGAAGCCACTCTGTTTACAGTGTCATCAGCGCAGGAGTGACCTTGGGACAGAGCACACTTCCCTTTTCTGGCCTGTTCCTTTGGCTTCCTTAGCATCTCCACTCAGGGCTGCAAAGGTGACGAGACAGTATTGAAGGATTAGCGCCACTAAAGGGAATTACAGCATAGGAAAGGGAAAAGGTTTTACAAGTATACATGCAGTTGCACAACATTGTGAGTATATTGGAAACTGCTGAATTCTATATACGTTAAAATAGTTAAAATGGTGAATTTTATGTTGTGTGAATTTTATCTCAATTAAAAACAATTAAAAGTGATGATGCGTGACTGCATCCATAGACCTAAGGAAACGTCTCCACCCAAATAAAGAAAAACCTGTGTCATCTTGTGGACCCATCTCAGTTCCTAGCCCTGCTCCCTGTTCCTCATGCCTGAGCTTCAGGACAGAGAAGTTCCTCCAAACCTCCATCCTTGGTGAAGCCCCACCCTTCCCCGCCCTCTCACCCTCTCCCTTTTAGAGAATCCCCATTCACTGTCCACTGAGTTTAGTCTTACCCTATGATCTGTCTCCTGTTTTTTTTACCAAAACATCCCTGCAGAGCTCCAGTAGTACATTTCCCTAAGGCTACATGTGCAGCCTTCACCCCCCCTCACAGAGCAACTTCAGCAGGACACAAGTGGGTGGGATTGGGATCTCAACCTGGTACCCTTTGAGAGTTCCCTACCAGTGTGAGGTGTGTCTTCCAGATAGTTCCAGAGGGTAATTATATACCCCTCTACACACCTACTGTGCATACCTTCCAATGATGAATATTAATAATCAGAATCTAGCTCCATATTTGTGAAGATAAATATTTCCCTAATATGATATAATCTATATAGATTCCTACTCACAATGCAAAAAACAAAACAAAACAAAACAAAAAACCTTGCCTGTTTTTGTAGAGCTGTGTCTGAAGCCAGTCTATTTATATTCTCACTTCCTGGCCTTGCCGTACGGCTGCCTCATAATGGAAAGAAAAACAACCTCCCCCGAAATGAGACTTTTCAAATCAATTCTCGCTGATGGCCACCCAAAGACCAGGCAAAGGTTTAGAACCGTCCAGATCACAGCCCTAAGCGAGCATGCCCTGGCCACCTCTGCAGACCTGGGGGAGGCCGTATCATCTTCTGTCCGAGCATCTCCTTGTCCTGAGGCACACAGCATTTCCTCTTGCATTATCTGTGTAGCGTCGCTCATCTTTGCTTCTCCTCAACCCCGGTGTGCAGAGTATGCTCTCTGATGTGCGTGATGTCACAAGTCAGGAGATGATAAGTTCTATATTATTTTCATAGCTGAGTTCTGCACTGCTATCTATTTTTTAATTTGGGGGTTATTGCTTTGAAGAAGGGTACATAGTTAATGGTTTATTTTTCAATTCTGAAAGGGAAACTTGACTACAAACAATTTAAAAAATTGACCAGTTCTATTTCCAGTTTGTCATTATGGAAAGTTAGGGCACCAGGTAGTATATTTTGTCAAAAATGTTCAGTCTTGACAGAGGCTGCCGGCTGGAAAATAGGGGCATAAAAGATTATGTTCTTTCACTAGGCTCTCGAGTTTGGAGGTAAAAACCAAAATTGACCGGTGGATCTCATCTAGTAAGCTGTCTTGCATGTTAAGCATGACACTGCTGATTTATGATAGGGGTAACCCTTCTGATGATGGAAGAATTAAGTCACTGGGGTCATGCCATGACCAGTTTTCCCCTGTATCACATTTGACGGCATCAGGCTTGTGTTGCTGGCTGCCTGCTTTGTCCTGCGGGCTGGCACATACCGGAGAGCCCAGAGAAGGGGCAGTGGGATGGATCGAGCGTTTGCTTCCCAGTGGCAGTCCTTCTAGGCTTGAGGCTTGTAAGTCCTCCACCACATGCCGCGCCGTGACTCACTGTCCTTTTTGGAAAGTCCCTGGTTGTGCCGTGCTTTGTCTCTTGCATGTGGGACGCTGGAAGTTGTAGGGGAGAGTGCATTTATTTGACTTTCAAATGAAATACTAGATTTAGTTGCACAACAAATGTGTTGACCGCTCTTACTTTGTGCATGTGAGATAGAACTTTCTGTGCAAATGTTGTTGGCGTTGTTTCTGATTGGCTTCAGAATCACATATTCCTGATAGCAAGCACCATCCCTAAGAGTAGCTTACGCTTCAGCCTTATTGTTTAGATGAGTTATGGTGGACCTGCGACCAGTTTCCCCCGGAGAACTGAGCTCCTGAAAGCTTTCCTTTTTCCTCCTTGCTTCCATCTGTAATGTGTTTCGCCTAAACTATTCTGTGGTTCTCAGTCCCTTCTGTGGTATGTAGTGGTATAGTGGTCAGATGCAACTTTTGCACTGTTTGAATAAGCAAGGTAGTTGCTTGTGATTTTGATTAATTTCCTTTCTACAGTTCCTCCACCCACACGTCGAAAGCAACCCTCTCCCAGAGAACCATCTGTTACTGATTTCAGAAGAGAAATGTAAGTGTATCTTTGGGTGCCATATGGGGGCTTCATGAATGGCACATCTCCTAGTGAAGTGTGGGGCATGACTGAATCTTCTAGCTGTCCACTCGCCAGGGTCATGGGTCCATTGACCCTTGATGTCCATTTGAGACCTAGGATTCCTGTGGAAAGGCTTTGCCTTCAGCCCCTACTTGTTCCCTTCGGCTCAGCTCTGTTTCCTCATCCTGGGAAGGTTGGGCTCCTGTGTGTATGGATTTCCAGTTTTGTCACATGGTGGAATGTTTGTAGAAAGCTGCTCAGGACATTTTTGCCTTCTGTAGTCCATCCTTCTTTAGCATGTCTGTCACAATGGGTAACCATGATATAAGGGGAGAGGCTGGGATGGGGAGAGGGGAAGGCATTAGAAGCTAGAAGAATTCCATGGCAGAACTTGAGGACACGTACTAATTTGGTCAAATTCAGGTAGAGACAAATAAGATTGGGACATCCTTTAATGATGTCTTTAAGTTTGGGGGGTGGGGTGGAGAAAGGAGAAAATTCCCTGGTGGATCTTAGCTGGTAAGCCATCTTTCAAGTTATGAGATGAAACTGCTGATTTATAACTGGAAGGACGGGCCTGAGGGTGAGGTCTGTGTTCAGTCCCTATGCTCTCGCCGAATATCTGTCTCACATTTTTGTAACTAAAACCCGCAGAAGGTAAGTATGGCCGAATGTAAATTGCTGACTGAGCAAAAGGGACCATCTACAGAACGGTTCCGAGTTCTGTTAATGTGAAGTTGACCCCTATAAAAATACCTCCCCCAGCTATCTTGTGTAAAGAGTTTTCTATCTGATATTTTCATACAAAAAGGTATTTGCTATTTGGAAATGGAAGATAAACCCTACCGAATGGGCCCTTATTAGCCCTGTATAAGAGTGATGGTTTAGGGCAGGCAAATGCTTGTTGAGGGAACGTGGGGGAGCAGAAGGGTTAAATGCTTCCTGTGTTGTTAATATTGAGGAGGAGAATAAAGTCTGGACTTGGAACAGACTGTAAAGGGAGGGTGGAGACAGGTGGCTTTTGTTTTGTGCCTTTATTGTGAGATTGCTATCTGTGATAATATTATTTTTCAGCCAGTTATTTAATCTGCATTGCTTTTACTAAAAAATATTCACAACTGTTAGGTGAAAAAAAGGACTCGTTTTTCATGAAGGTTAAGCTATCTTTCTGTTGTTTTTTTTTTTTTTTAAGATATTGAACAATTTCATATCCAAGTCATCCAAGAAGATGGAAATGGAGTGGTAAATATTTGAAACAACTTTTGCTTCAGACTCTTTTCCACACAAAGAGACCTTTCTAGACTGTTAAGGATAGATTAATGTTATGGAAACATAGCATTTTCTTTATTTGATGTCTTTCAAATTATAGACTTGCTTTTGTAACATGTGAACTGATACAAGATGTATATGAAGGAGTTAATTACCTCCCTCCTCTCTACCTCCCCCCGTCTCAGTCTCCCAGGGTAGCTAATGCCAGCCTGTGTGACTTTCCACACCTTTTACCTTGCTCATGCAAAGCTACACAGGGTTAGGTGCACATATGCAGGGATTCAGTTGTTTTTACCAAAATAGAATCGTAATACATATATTAATTTACCACTTTTGTTTTTACCTTTTTCCTTAATATATCACAGGTATCCCTATAGGTTTCTAAATAGAGATATAACTTTTTTCTCTAATTTTTATACATATATATATATATAATAAATGGGATCGTAATATATATGCTGGGATGCTGGGGTTTTATATAGTTCAATTTTCTTTTCTTTTTTTTGCTCATTTTCCACTTCTCCCTTGCCTTTTCGCCTCTCACTTTTATTCACAACCTGGTGTGTATCCTTCCAGTCTTTCCTCCGTACCTATAAAGCCCCCAGCCCCTCCCCTGACACACCAGGGGTTTGTTTATTATTAGCTCCCTCCTCACTCAACTTTGTAGAATTACTTACAAGTCAACTAAAATAGTTCCAATTCATTCTCTTTAGAAGCACCTGTTCATTCCTGGCATGAATGTACACAATTTGGCAACCATTCTCCCATGGATGCACATTCACTTGATTGCCAATTTTCTTTTTTTGTTTATTTGTTTACAGTACGAATAGTCTCAGGTGTTTTTTATAGCTTTATGTATTTGGAACACATATTCCTTTGGGCTAAATCCTCAGGGATGGCTAATTGGGTTGATGGGTGTATGCATTTAGTAACATTCAACAGAGTTTTGCCAGATTGCTTTCCAAAAAACTTGTAACAATTCACAGTTTTACAAGCAAAGTGTAAGAGTACCCTGACCCTCTATCCATACGTAATAGGTGTATTTACCTTTTTTTAAAAAAATTCCAATTTGATGGTGTAAGTTGATATCATTATTATTTTAGTTTGTATTTCCCTAATATTAGTGAGTTTGAGCATCTTCTGTTCTTATTGGCTATGTGAATTTGTTTTTCTGAAAATTGCTTAGTTATATCCTTGTCTATTTTTCTACTCAGTTGTCATTTTCTTGACAATTTGTGGGATCTTAACATATTATTGATATTAAAAATAATTTCCTTCAATATTTAGATAGTCTGCATCAAAATAGTCTTTCTTTGAAGATTTTAATCTTAAACTTAGGTGAACAAAATTGAAATGGAAAATGGCATTTATTAATTATATATCTATGATTGAAAGCTTTAAATCAAGAGGCCTGGCAGGAAATGACCAGGAGATGTGGGCTGGAGCTCAGGGCCACCAGCGGCCAAGTGGATAGCAGGGCGAGGACAGGTCAGTGATAAGAAAAATGTCAGACAAAAGAGGAAAGACCAGGCGGAATCCCAAAGCTACCACTGAGAATTTAGAGGAGAGAGTTAAGGAAACAAGTCAGGGTCAGGAACTGAAAATGAGCATAGACAGAGGACTGGCTGGCTAGCAGAGGGATTGGGAGCCCCAGAGACACTGCAGAGAGAGTGAGGGCAGGGACACTTGTCAGAGCCCAGAAAGAATTTTGGGCCAAGACGGTGCAGCCTCAGCATTCCTTCCTCTGTGTGCCCCTCTGTGAGGCACTTCTGCCCTTATTCTTAAAGGCTTAGGTGACAGCTTCTTAGGGTAATGTGTGGTTCCACGCATTCATCACAGCATCCCTGCGAGGTAGAGGTGGTATTGTAATTATCCCCATGTTTACAAGGAACGCAACAACCAAGACTCACAGAGGGGAGGGACAAAACTGAGATGTGAACCTGGGTTGCCACACTCTGATGATCATGTTCTTGTCACTATATACCTTTATCTGAGAGTTCCCAAATCGACCCTAACCTAACAAATTTCAGAAAAGTGAAAACAAGATGGGTTGCCCAAGTTTAGAGTCAGACAGGGACTCTTGGGTCCTTTTTCCAGCATCTCTTTCCTCTGGCCTAAATGTAATGGACCCAGGCAAGCAAGAAATAGAGGTGTATGATTCTGCATGCCCTGTGCCTTCCTTGAGTTCCAACTTAGCCTCAGTGGAGAGATCCTTATTAGGATTAGAGATGGTTTAGCCACGAATATGGGCCATTCTGACATTCCCTTTTTCCCTCATTTTTTTCTACCTCAGCCTGTCTTCCTTCTTTACTTATCTGTCCCAATATAGATTACTTTTTCTTGATAAGCATTTTGAGAAAGGAGAATTCTTAATTCCTTGTATCACATTTGTCATTTCCATGGCAATTTACTCTTGCATACCTTATTTCGCTTTCCTCATTTTGAGAAGCATTCCTTGAGTACTGTTACATGCTAGAAACAATGAAGACATTGAGACTATAAAGGTGTTGGAGAAGAGTGCATACTCATTGGGGTAGACTTATAATTAGAATGTAACTGTAATAGAATTATGCCAAAGTACCATAGGAATACAGAGGTGGGGGGCTTTGCCTTCGTCTTGCGAGGTGAGAGAAGGCTTTGTACAAGAGGCAGTGCCTAAGCTGGGTCTCGAAGGATGAGCAGTGAACTACTGCTGAGAGATGGGCAGAATCATCTACTCGTTGTGGAAGACATAAAGGTGGGAAGCATGACCAAAGCCACGTGAAGTTCATGGCAGATCTGGGATCATTGCCCGGTACTCCCCACTCCCAGGCCTGAGTTTTTCCTTGGCATCACAACCTCTATCTCTGGTAGTGAAGCTTTGTCTGCAGATGCCTGAGCAGGTTATGTCCAGAACAGCAAGCTCTGAATCTTCTATTAGCCCAGCTGCTGACTTGTGTTAGGTGTGGCCTTGCCTTCAACAACCCCAGCCTGTCTGTCAAACTAGGAACAAGAATAATGTAGTTTGTTATAGAGTATTTGGGAAGAGCAGGTCGTGAAATGATGCCTTACATCTATTCTGGAAAGACTTTCCATGTGTATGTGTTGGGGGTAGAGAACTGCTAAAAATAAACTATGGAAATATTTACATGTGTTGTAAAGATAGAATATACAAAATAACAATGAAATCCAGATATATTCTATTTTAAAATAGTTATTAATTTTTAAAAATCTCTATGCCTCTTTAGGTGATTAAAAATTCTGGCCATCTCCCAAGAGAGAGAGTAGCTGAGGATTTTGTTTGGGCTCAATGGGACACGTCAGAGCAGAGACTATACTACGTGGAGCTGAAGGTAACAGCTAGTCCACTGGCCCTCCTTTTTATATGGACCTTTTAAATTTGACACTATCATTATTGAAATTTACTACTCACTTCATTTTCATTCATGGGGGCAGTCAACGAAGGTTCATTAAAAATAGCAAAAGGTTTTCCTTACTGTTTGTTTCTTGACTGCTTCCTTTTCTCTCTCTCTCTCTTTTACTAGTGTTTGGTTCATTTTTTGGTCATTTGTCATTTATTGTTTTCTCTTTTAGAAATCAAGGAGTATCTTAAAATGCATCCAGTTTTATGCTGACGAGAACTTTAACTTAATGGTAAGTCTAGAGAATGATCGGGCTGCAGGAAGTTTTATAACCCTTTGCCCCCTTTTGAAGAGAATTGTTCTCCCAAACAGCGTTGTGGCATTCTTGATGTTGCATTAGTCACTTGTATGAGCAAGTAAAATAGTTCTTGCCGTCTGGAGGCTTCAACTCTACAACAAATGCAATTAATATAGGTGATTGGAAGACCACACACAGGAAATGTCTGCTCACCGAATGCCTCCCGTTAAAGAAACTAAGGCTGAGAGTGAGGATTAGTGGAGGAAATAGGTGTGGTCTATAGCACATAGCTTTCGGTGCTCACAAGTCATTTGATCCAAAAGGACTCGTGAGGACGGTAGATTTGAGTATAAGGTAAAAAGTCAGTGAGAGGGTATAGTTTATTTAAATCTAGCATCAGTCCTGGAAAAGCTGTTTGGAATGCTAGCCTTCTGCTGAAGAGTCATAAATATCTTTATCTGTGATGGACAGAACATTGTTTTTCTTCTTGACTAGGATTAGTATTGGTGTCTAATACGGAGTGATGTACCATTACAAGAATTTCATTTATTCCTCCTGCCCTTTTTTTTGACTCACTCTTCCTCCTTCTGAAGACACCCAGTCCTTCCCTCTTTATGCGGCCATCTGTATCTTGTAAAAGTCTGCTCTTTCCAATTGGTTTATTATGCAATCTGTTTGTGGTACTCATATCTGAGGCAAAGTTTGCCAAGTGTCAGCCCTTTAAGGGATAAATATACATCAAGTTTTTGGTTGTACGTAAACTCCAGAATATTCCCATTGGACTTTCCGTGCTGTGGATCTGGGGGCTAACCTCTGAAGATAATGGCGGGTAAACGGGCTTTGTGTCGTCAGGCAAGCACAGCGCTGTCAGGCTTGCTCTGGTTTCAGAACTATCATCACTTGACTAATCTCATTCTTTTGTTTGTTTTCTCCTGATTTTTTTTTTGACAGTTTGAAGCACCCTTGGACATAGCATTAAGTGACTCAGGATTTAAGTAAGTTATTCATAGATTACTATTAATTTTTTTGGAAACTCATGGACAGAATGATTATATTTATGCCTAATCTATAATTTGTACCTGGTGGTGTGCAGATAAAAAGACAACCTGATATTCCGTGTGTGCACGCATGCGTATTCTTTTATGTTGCTGTTCTCTGTAGGGAATGTAAACAACTTTATCAAGCACGAGCACAGGGTTGCTTCATGTCAAGTCAATCGTATTGATTTTCCTAGCCGTTTCTTTGTGTAGGGCGCCTGCATTTATTTTAATCCATGGAGGCGATCTCTTTGTGATTCAGTAAAAGGATTCGGTATGTCACAGTCACATTCAGGATCGAACATCAAACCGTTTTCTATCGCCATCAAAGATGATGCCGCAGGTCAATCCATTTGTAGCTCAGCTGAGTCTATTGCTTTACTTTTTTTCTGTTTTTCTTTTTACACAAAAGATGAATTTTTTTTCTCCAAACTATCTTACATGTAGCATGAGGCACTTTTGAAAAAAATAGACGCAAGACCATCAGCGCACAGAAGAAACGAAAGTCTTCTTGAATTAGAGTAATGATAATCCAAAACTGTTATATATTTTGCTAGCTTTACTTACCATATATGAATATTCCGTTATGCTTATTTTGAAGCATAGTGTATGCATACAGTATATTAAATCAGAAAAAAGTTATAGAAATACAAGTTGAAAGTAATATATATTTTTCTCTGTTGCCAGGGCCATGTCATTTATGTACCATGTGTTTTTTTTAATTATTGTTTTACAGAAATTTTTAACAAAAGAAACATGTTATCTACTTAAATTTCTCAGAGACATGTCTCTAACTCTGTGGGTATGTTATAGTGGTTACTGTCCTGTTTGAGGGAACTTATTTTTAAATGCATTCATAATTTCTTATCCTTTACGTTCTTAGTCTTGTCAACTTTGGATGTACTGATCTGCAAGACCAAGAAAAATTTTCTGAACACCCGACCCTGTGTGTTTTTACCAACCATACAGGTAGAACCTTGGTTGTATTTATCAATCTATTAATTATACTTGAGTTCTGTACAAAATTTAGTCATTGTTTAGCTATATGGATCCTGAAAATAAAATATAATAGAGCCACATTCTTACATAAGTGATCATATGGATATTTATATACCAAATTACCTTCTCCACTATAATTTTATACATCTGTTGTCTATAAAAGAGCCACAGTCAACAGAGTTATTGATCTACTAGTTATTATTTGTATGACTGTTCTAAGGGGGGGATGGAGTCATATTTAATCAATATATATTCTCTCAACTGCTCCATCTTTTCACATATGTCATTCAATGATGGGAAAGCTTTTTGTGTCGGGATTACTGATGTGTTTGGTTCTAAACCCACGTACTTGTCTGCTTTAAGAGCTGTGTTATCACCTACTGAGCTCACAATCAATGCTTGTCAAAGTTATTAGTGTACAATATTCTGTCTCTTAACACCTGTTTATTGTAGATAGAGAAAATAGAGAAGGAAAAATAATACCTAAAAATGAGAGAAGAAGAGTATGGTTACATTCAATGAATCTGGTGAAAAAAACTGCTCATTAACCTTTGTAATCATCTAAATAATCGACTCTAATAACTAAATCTAGTAGCCATTTTTAGTATTCCAACTTGAGTGAACAATTACCACTTGAGTTAAGTAGCACTTGGACTAAAATTGTATTCCTCTAAAGCCACATTATGTAGTATTCATTAAGCCAACATTTATGGAGCTCTTACTGTGTGCTAGGTATTGGGGACCCAATGATGAGCAGAACTGACCTCATCTTTATTAATATAAAGGTTACTATTTGTTGTGGATTTTAGACATTAAATAAGTGCACACATAGCATTTAAATAGAATCGTGAGAGTACGGAAGCCATGAGAGCATGTGATGGAGGTTTAATGGAAGACCCTAGAAATAGAATAGAAATATGTTCTAGTTCAGCTAGTCCATCCCTGTTTCTCTCTCCCTCCGAGATAGCCTGTCCTGTTCTGTCTTAGTCTTGAAAATTGTCCCCTTGCCACCTCGCTCCTTCATAATCCATCTCATTTTTTCCTCTCCGTCCCAGGGCTCCCTCAACCACACAAGTCCCTCCGTAAATCGGTCCTGGGGAGTTTAGGGAAGGAAGTGGTATTTCGCTTGAGACTTGAAGGATGTGTATGAACTGCAAACAGTGTGACCCAAGTCGAGAGAGCAAGGAGAAGAGGATTGTGAGAGAAAGCTGAGGAGGTGGGCAGGGGCCACATTCTTTAGGGCCTTGTAGACCATGGAAAGATTTTAGATTTTATCCTAAGAGTTATAAGGTCATTAAAGGATTTGTTTTTTTCTCCTTATGACATTTTATTTTGAGAATGCTCCAGCATACAGAAAAGTGTTAGAATGAACATCCACGTACCTTTCACTTAATCATATCATTTACAACGTTGGCTTTATCATTCTCCCCATGTATAGGTACTATTTTCTTCTTTTTGACAAAACTGTTCAAAAATAAGTTGCAGACATCCTGACACTTTACCAGTGAATAATTGAGCACGTATCTCCTTAGGTTAAAGACATACTTTTACGTAACCTCAGTTCCATTATCCCTGAAAGAAATTAACTACATTAATCGGTAAACTATTTTATCTTCAAATTTCTGTAATTGTTTCAAAAAAGTCCTGTACATGTGTATGCATATAAATGAATAAGTATATGTATGTACATAACTTTTAAAGTCAGGATCCCATCGCTATTCACGCATTATATTTGGTTATGTCTTTGTGGTCTCTTTTAATGTAGACCGATTCCCACATCCTCTCCTCTGCACTTTTTTTCTTTTCACAGCATTGGCATTTTGAAGAGTCCAGGACATTTGCCTTGCGGAAGGTCCCTCATTCTGGATTTGTCTAGTTGTTTCTTTGTGGAAGTATTAACTTCTTCCTCTATCCTCCACATTTCCTGTAGATTGGAGGTCAGACCTAAAGGCATCGTTAGACATAGGTTAAACATTTGTGGTAAGAGTACTTCGTGGGTGATGTTGTGAACTTTATTTGCACCAGATCAGGCGGCATGTAATGTCAGGACATCCTATTATTTGTGATGCTAAGTTTTGTCGTTTGGTTATGTGGTGACCACTGTCTGTCTGCCTCGTAAAGGGACAGTTTAACCTTTGCGTTAGGAATCTGAGGTGATACTTTGGCATCATGTGACTATCCTAATCCCCAACAACTTTTCACCGGGAGGTTTTAGGATCCACTGATGCCCCTTCACTGAAGTGTTTTAGGCAGACAGCGACATGATTAGATATGTGTCTTTCAAAGATCACTGTGGCTGCTGTGTGAAGAATGGATCAGGGGAGGCAAGAGGAAAAGTTAGGATGAAAAGAGGTGAGCAGTTAGGATGAGGGTGTATGCGTACACCTGAGATGAGGGCAGCTTGAACAGGATGCGCGGTGGAGGCGGAGGGAACTCGACGGGCTTGAGATGCATTTTGGAGATGGAACTGAGAAGGCTCATTATAACGATGGAGAGGAATGGATCTCAGGTCTCTGGGATAATGAGATGGGTGAACCGGAGTGCCATTTACTGAGGTGTAGTGGTTTTGGTGGGGCTTAGAAAGGGAGATCATGAGTTTTGCTTTGGACACTTTAAGAGCTCTGGACCTTAGAAGAGGAATCAGGACTGGAGATGATAAATGTGGAAGCTGTTCGACTATAGCTGGCCTTCAAAGCCGTGGGAGGGGTGTCAGGTTGAAAGGGAAGAGTTTAGAAGTAAGATCTGGGGATAAAAATATGTAAAGGTTAGGTAGAACATCCAAAGAAAAATGAAAAAGAGTGTCTGGAGAGAGGAGGAAAACCAAGTGTGATATTATAGCAGCCAAGGCCAGAGGGGTTTCCCAAAGGAGAGGGCTAGTCTCCGTTAATGAGTAGGGGGAGACTGAGTCCATTGGGTCTAGCAGCACGGAGGTCACTGGGAGTAGTTGGTGTTGGGTGGCTGAGGTGAAATCTTGGCTGTGCTGGGTTAAGTGGCATGTGGGAGTTGAAAAAATCATCATAGCACGTGTAGACATGAGAGAGGCAGCAGCTGGAAGGGAAAGTGGGATTTAGGGAATATTATTTTTGGTGATGGGAGAGACTCCAGTATGTCTGGATGCTCACAGGATGTTTAGTGGCAAGAGAAAAGATGACAGTACCCAGCAGGGAGGAATAACTGGTACAGTGAATTTGCTTAGAAGGCGAGATGTCATGGGATCCAGAGCTCGTGTGGAGGGACCAGGGTGGGTGCTTCCCTGGGTCTTCACGTTAATTCATTGGGTATAAACAATCATTTGAGGCTCTTATTCTGTGAAGCTTTTATTCCTTTTCATTTTGTCCCCACAGGAATTTCTCATGAACAGAGGCCGCGATGACTTATAAATTGGCTCTCTATGACATATCTTATTTAATAAAATGTTAGGTGTATCTGGCATAGCTGTGAAAGAGTCTGTTTTTTCCTTTCTCAGCAATGTCTAGGAGAATAGAAATGAGGCTTGCTCTTCCTAGTCAGCTCTGAAATAGAATAAATAAGCCTGTTTCAAATGGGATGTTTCCAGATTTAAGGTGAAACAAGTTGGAGAAGCAGCCCTTTGGTTTACGTCGAAGCTGTCAGTTCATGTGTTTCCCAAATTGCTTTTCAAAAATTATTTCTTACCTTTGTGGTAAAACAAGCAAACAAACGAAAACCTACTTCAGCCAAGGAGGAATGGAGAAGAGAGAAAATAGTCTAATTCCTATACCACTGTCTCTTTAATAGAGGGCTTAATTTTCCACTGGTGTGGAAACCGGAAAACATGGTTCGTGAAAGGAATGCCGATAGACTCAGGGCCTCGTACAAACCCAGCTTATTTCAACTGTGACATTAGTGGGGATGCTCTAGTAGGATTTGTCACATATTGGTCGTTGGGAGCCACTTTGTCTATTCAGCATTACTTCCTACATCCTTGAAAGCATCTTTGTCCTGCATTTTCCTGCCCTAGGAAATGAAACCTACTACCTTCCAAGGAATTAGAGGTGCTCACGATGGGGGTGCTCATGAGCTGGTGGGCACGAGAGCTCTGCTGTGGTCAGGTCGCTTGTGTATGAAGATTATGAGTTCATATGGATTTTTCTAATGGGTCTTTTACAGCAGGAGAGTAACTCAGAGACTTGCTAAAGCAATGAAGGACAGAACATACTCTCATTCCTTCCGTGTCTGATGGTCAACCCTGAAGCTGTACCTGGGGCAGTCTTGTGTGTTCTAAGGCAGGGGCTGCGGTTCTTTCTTGTGCACCATCTCCTGGGAGGTAGGGAGGGCTGAAAAGTATAAACTCTCCTTCCTGTTCATATAATTGCAAAAGTTGCCCTTCACCAATTCCCAGAATTAGGTCCGCGTTGTAGCATTTTGTAGAGCTTTCACTATGAGATAATTTCCTTAGGAAAACTTTGTCCATAATAGCTTTCATTGTCCACATGGTTTCCCGAAGGCTAGCCAACTTCGAGATGTTATCTTCATCATTGATGAATATTTATTAAGCATCTCTGGATACACTGTCAAGAGCATGCTTTGTTTCTTTCAAACTGTGATTTCCCTCGACTTGTAAATAGCAGCAAAATTATTCTGGAAGAATAGTAATAGCAGCTAACCTTTGTAGCCGGACATAACTTCTTTGCCAGAGTTTTGTACATATTATCTCATTTAATTCTCCCATAAGAGCCATAGGAAGTAGATTCTATATTTTTTTATTTACAGGTGAGGAAACTGAGGCTTAGAGAATTTAATTAATTTGCCTCAGGCAAATTTAAAAAATACTGATGCCTGGGTCTCAACCCCCGGGATTCTAGTTGATCTAAGGTGGAGCCTGGGGGTCTGTGAGCCCAGGTGAGTTTACTGGATTTCCAGGGTTGAGAGCCAGTGCTCCAGAGCTGTGGCGTCCACTATGGTAGCCCCTAGCCACATGTGGCTATTTACATTCAAGGTACTTAAAACTAAATAAAATGAAAATGGAATTCCTCATCACACTAGCCGCATTTTGAGTGCTCAGTAGCCACACGTGGCTAGGGGCTACCATATTGGACAGCACAGATATAGGACATTTCCGTTAGTAAAGAAAATTCCATGGATGTGACAGCTTTGCAGAGCGTCTGCACTCTGCATTTCACCTTGCTGTGTCTTTTTTTTTCCCTTCCTTTGGGATTGGGAGGGGAGCTAAACTACTACCTGACTGTCTGGAAATATTTGCGTATGAGATCGGAATGCGGCTCTCAGGGTGTGTAATGAGGTACACTTATTCTACATTCGCTTTAACTTTCTTCAAAACAAGGCAAACAGTGACCTCCATTCTTTGAACAATGGTGTATGGCGGATTTTGCTAGAATGGAGGTAACGATCTCCCTTATATTGTCGACATTTCATGTTCATTTCTCAGGATAGATTCTTCGAAGAAAAATTACTGGCTCCACGATGTGAATGTATTTAACTCTCTACTGAACTATTTTTCAGAGAGATGGTGCTAGTTCACTTTTCCACTACTGTTATTTGAGAATGTTCTTCCTGCCGCTCCCTCGACAGAAATGATGATCATTTTTAAAACTTTTCTAATTTGGAAGGAAAAATATGGTGCCTTGTTTTAATTTCATCTTTTTTTCTTTTTTTTTTACTAGAGAGGCTGAAGTTTTAACATGTTTGCTAACAATTTCTTTCTCCTTGTGATCATAGAACATAAAAGAACGGGATAAACCAATAGTGTTTTGCTGGTAGTATGTTTGCTTTATGAAAGGAGTCAAAGTGGTACATGGGACCTCTGTAACTCTTATAATTATTATTTTTGTTTACGCTTTAGTATAACATCACTTTTATTCTTAGTGAGTCTGCTGTAATTTTAAAGAAAAGTTATCATTGTGTGCTCAGTACCCATAACAGTAATTTTACATCTTACAGAATTGTTACTGTTTTTATCTGATAAAGTTATTCTTTTTTATTTGTTTAAGATATTGCAATAAAGTGTACTTCTAACAATATTTTACATCTTAAATGTCATTAACAATAGTCATGGATGATAAATACTATAACAGAATGCTTATAAATGTCTTGAAATAGCCTTCTTAGGGAAAATGGTCTTTTTTTCCTACCATGATTCTTTGATAAAGGAAGTATGCAGTGTAAGAGAGGAAATATTGTGGTTCACTGGTTCACAGAGCTAGTTTAATATTAGCTCAGGGACTAGAACCCAGGTTTCAAGACTCCTTGTCGAGTTCCTTTCCACCCCAGAAATCTCCTATTTCAGGTAATGACATAAAGGTCAGCATCAGAATAGAAGTATCAGTTTAAGCATAATGCCGTCATTTGTAGGTCATGATGGACTCATCTAGTCTATCCAGATAGCAACAGCCGCTAGAGACGATGGACAATTTTATACACTGAAGGAGATGAGAAGGCTGAGGGTGCTGGGAGTGACAGGGTAAGTGAAGGCAGTCAGGGTCACGTGGAAAGGCCACTCTATGCTGGGGCTCTCCTTTGCCCTTGGGCCAAGGCCCTCAGTGACCCAAATATGGGTGGCTATGGGCTCACACACCATGCTTGCTCTTATTGTCCTAGTTTGCCTTCCATTCTAGATAAGCAAGAAGACTGGAAACTTTCTGTAAAGAGGAGACACAATTTTTGATAAACTAGGGTATGTGCTGGAAGGCAAGCTAGATAAGAGGGCAGGGTAGTCTGTGTATATTAGGAGATTTCACACACTCCCATGATTTCACGTACGGGAGTGTCTCTATTCATTTCCCTTCCCTTCAAGAGCCTGTCCCACAATGCATTGCCTATAGTGGGTGCCGAGAAATTGTTGAATTGAAATTTCTTAGCAGCTTGTTAATAGACCATTTCTAGAATTTGGGAATCACCGATGAGGCATGTTGAGGCAGGACATCTAAAGGAATAGAAATAAGGTTAAGTGGCTTAGGAAACTTTTTGTCTATGATTCTTTTAAGCTCTACTAAATACTTTTTTACTTCTAGGAAGTCTGTGTGTATGTTATAGCCCGAAGCTTGACTCTTGGGAACAAATCACGTATTCAGTGTTCTACTTTCATAAAGGTACTTTCCATTTGTTCTTATGTTTTACTTTTACATAATCGCTTTTTCCACATAGTAGCAAATTAGATTTTAAAGACTTATTACCTTGCAATAAATTATATCAGTACATTCTATACCTTTATACCATCATGTAATACACATTTCCTGAAGAAATTCACTTCTGATGAATATTGTTACCTGAAGATTTTTACATATTATATATTTTTTATTCTGACCTATATCTTTTTCTAGCTCTGTAGACCAATCCTAATGGATGTATTTGCCCAAGGTGTGTTTGTTTGCTTTTTTATTATTACTGATTGGAAAATATCAATAGATTTAACTTACAAAGTTACCTAAGGTTTTAGTTAAAACCTTCCATGATGTCAGGCCTTAACAGGTCTTAGACCTAAGATATGTTTATTTCATTTCACACCTCTGTGGCCTGAAAAATTGATGTGTCAACAGTCAGCCCGGGGAGCAGGGGGAAAGTGCACAACATTTTCCAGTTCTGTGGTCGGTCACAGTGTGCTCTTGAGTAGTTTTAGTGTGAACCATGCCAAGGAGTATTTATTTTGCTTATTGAGTTCCTTAAAATTAATATTTATGTAGTACATACTGTGGGTGGAGTTAAAATTTTTTAAAGATGGATTTTTTCCAAAATTTAAAAAATTTTATGCCAGACCACACCAGAGTTTATTATTCCACAGGAGTGCCTAGGATTACCTTCAGAAGTTAGAGATCAAGGTTAAAAAGTTTAATAACTTGCTCAATAATGAAGAAACTAAAAGCAACTTCAGAACTAGACACACAGACATGTCACTTAAGGATGGGGATACATTCTAAGAAATGCGTTGTTAGGCAATTTCGTCGTTATGCGAACATCACAGAGTGTACTTACACAAACCCAGATGGTACAGCCGCTACACACCTAGGCTATATGGTATTCATCTTATGGGACCACCGTTGTGTATGCAGTCCGTTGTTGACCAAAACGTCGTTATGTGGCGTGTGACTGTAGACTTGCTTTAATAGTATAAATTTGATATTTTGTGGAAAGTTTTCACACATTCTTCTGATGACTAAAACCAATAAATAAACTTTTCTGTAGATTAAGAGCAACGAGCCAGCTGGCGTCCTCCATCTCTTGGATCCTTACGTAGATTCCTTCGGATCCTTCCCTGCCAGCACAACCTACCTTTTAAGATCTAAGATGATCTGTAAACCCAGAACTACTGGATCGTGACCGCACTCCGGTGATCCACCTGCAGTGCTGGCTTTGGGAGAATGATGGGGAAGCTGGAAATCGAGGAGTCGGAAGGCACCTGCTCTGTCGGTGTCACAGTTAGTCAATGTTGAGAGTATCGCAGAGTCACTGCCTTGGGTGGGATTCCAGCTCTCTGTTTCTTAACGTGCTTTCTCTGGCTTCGCGTTCTCTCTCCACAGGGCACAGCAAGACCTTCACCGCTGCCCTTGGGAGTGCTGACTCACGTGTGACAAAGGGCATTACTTTTCTCAACCTTGGTGAGTGACAGAGACGCATGCTCTGTTCTGACCCTTCCTTCCAGTGCACGCTATGCCTCAGCCTTCCGTATCTCATTGTCTTCTCTCTACACCCTATCATCTCACGCCTCTTTGAGACTTGGATTGTGATGACAATCACTGACCTTTTTGAAGCCTGATAGGAGGAGGTTTTTTTTTTGGAAACAACCCCCCCTCAACTCCATCAGTCTCCTCGGTTGTTGGGGGGGGCGGCGCCTCTCCCTTTTTAGAGAATCTACACTGTGAGCTTTCTTATGTTTTTAGTTTAGCAACCCTAAAAGCCATTTGTTAGTATAAAAAGGATGACAGTGAAAAGATGTTCCCCAAAAACCTATGAGAAATAAACATCATGTAGTCCCTTGATTCTAGAGAGGACAAGGCGTTTGGGAAATTGTCCATCCCTGTTGCTAATTGCTAAAAGCTTCCGAGTCCCATAAATGATTTATGGATCAGTCTGAGCTTGTTGCTTTTCGTCAAGTAAATATGGTAAAGGGCACTTGAGTGTTATTAAGGGAGTCTATGTGGAAGCGTATTAAAGGAGTCTAGAAGGAAGAAAATAAAGAAGGGGTTTACTGTGCCTCTCTAAGCTGCTTGTCCATGCTCACTGGGATGTGAGGCACAAACAGGTTAGCCCAAGACTGAAGAACAGAATGCTTCCTGCCTACGTATGGGACATGGCACCATATTTAAGAAAGAAAAGCTACTCTGGTGACAAAGGTCCAGGAAGGTGTGATGTGAGGGAACTGGGCAAAGTGAGAACGAAAATGGTGAGAAAGTCCATAAAAAGGTTTTTATTTTGGCTGATACTATTGACAACGTGAGATCTCTTATGCTAAGAGGGCCGGCATGTGGCACGCTTTACCGTGAGCTGTGAACTGGCGGGAAATGGCCTTGGAGGGGCCTGGCTCTACAGCTCCCTGTGATGAGAAAGAGAAGTATAAGTCTTCCTGGGTCTGGGACTCGATTCTTATCAGCAGGGCTGTATTGGCATCCTGTCTCAAGAGTGATGTGGGAAACTTTCCCCTAAAAAAACAGCATTTTGTGAGGTCAAAGGTATCCATCCTTTTCTTACCCCTGGGAATGACTCCTAAAAAGGGCAGGCACGATTTAATCTATGGTCTTCCGAGTGTAGAGAGGGCAGAAATACTAGAGTTGTGTAAAAATAGGCTATCTTACATGAGTCATCTTTCCTTCTTAAACACACTTTATTTTACAGGCACAGAATTGTACCCAAGATTAAAAGTATTCAGGAAGTAATTTTTATGACAACAATATTGCTTTTCTGAATGATGTATTTTTTGCTATTAATTGTGTGCATTGTCCCTGAATTGTCACCTTATTAAAAGGAGCTTATATTGATTCAAAGATTAAAGAATAGAATTTTTTGAAATTTTTCATGAACTCCAATCACATCTATATAAGAAAGTTATGTTTCTAAATAAAAAGCTATCGTTTTTTAAAATGAATACTGTATGCTAACTGTTTTACTGAAGTTACCTTGGTCCTTACAACAATTCTGCTTAGTAATGTTATCCCTGTTTTACAGATAATGAAACTGAGTCTCAGAAAGACTGAGATGTGTGTCCAAGCTTCCTTTAGTGTCTCTTATCGGGGCACTGTACTAGTTTCTTATTGCTGCTGTAACATGTCACTACAGATTTAGGGCTTAAAACAACACAAACATTCTCCTCTGGAGGTCAGAATTCTGAAATGAGTCTGGAGGGGCTAAAATCAAGGTGTGGGCAGAAATGGTTCCTTCTGGAGATTCCAAGGAAGAATGCATTCTTTGCTCCCTCCAGCATTGAGAGGCCAGCACTTCTTGGCTTGTGACCACATCACCCCGATCTCTTTCTTCATCCTACGGTCTTCTAGTCTGTTGTCAGAGCTCCCTCTTATAAAAACATCTGTGATTACATTATCCACCTGGGGAGTCCAGGATACTCTCCCCATCTCAAGATTCTTAACCACATCTGCAAGGTCCCTTTTATCACTTCAGGTCATGTATTCACAAGCTTTGGAAATTAGGCCGTCATTCAGCCCACCACAGGTACTGTTGACGTTTTTTTGTGAGACAACAATTCTTTGTGTGAGAGTGTCCTGCACATTGGGAGGTTTAACATCCCCGGAGCCCACTCACTAAATAAGAATCCCTTTTCCACCACAAAGATTGGGACAACCCGGAACACCCTCATATGTTTCCAAATGCCCCCTCTCCCAGGAGCATAGTACCAGCCTAATTAACTGGGTAAATGGTAGGGCTAGGAGTTAACCGAAGTCATTTGATGCCCAAACCCTTTCCATTGTGCTCTTCTATATCACTATTGTTGTTTTTCTACTTAAATGTTGCCATAATAATATTATTGCAACCATTTGTGCTAAGCACTTTAACATCATTTAATCCACAGTGACTGCAAGGACACTTATAAGTCAACTAGTCAGAGTTTTACATCCTCTTTCCTTTCCACAGAATGCCTTCTATACAAGTGATTAGCATGTCTTTCTTTGCTTCATAGAGCAAAAGAGTCCAGCTGGCTCGCTTCTAATCTAAATGTTTCATCTACACGAAATTCATTGCTATCGTGTGAATTTCCGTTTTTCTAAGATCCCAGAAAAATTATTGGTAAGGGCTACTTCCACCCTCCCATTCTCCAGAAACCTATTCTTACACCTTGGCTCAATCTGTGTACAAATGTTCTTGGTACAAAAATATCTTGTGCAGAGACCGTGAAGGTGTGAATCCTAGGCAGCTAGCTATGCAAGGAAATAAATGAGTACTCCACGAAGTGTCAGAGTGCCTACAGAGGTCGTTTGCATGAATATCAGTTTAAAGCTTCTCTAAACAGAATGCTGATGATGATTGTGATGATGATGATGGTGATGATGATGATTGTGATGATGGTGATGACAATGATAATGGTGACGATGATGGTGATGATGATAGTGATGATGATGATGATGGTGATGATGATAGTGGTGGCAATGATAGTGGTGACAATGATGGTGATGACGATGACAGTGACGATGATTGTGATGATGATGGTGGTGATGATGATGATAGTGATGACAATGACTATGATGACGATGGTGAGTGGGGAAACACGGGAAACTAAATTTTAGACCTTCCCCAAACTGAAAAACTATGAAGGAAGTTCCCATTATGAGCTATTCCCAGCCTTCCAGATTAAGGAATAATTCATGTTGCTTAACATTTTTTATTCTAATTTGCTCTCAGAGATCGTTTAGATTCATATAAAGCCACAATTTACTTAAAAACAAAACTACAGATTAAATTAAGATAACCAGGGCTAAATGTCCAAAGGAAATTAGCCACAGATAGGAATAAATGAGATCTGGCTGTAAGAGGAACTGTGCTGGCATCAGCCAGCTTGTGATTACATTGGTCAGAACTTCTGTGTTTTAAAACATTTAGAGGAGAATAGGGATACTGGGAAGTTCTGGGCTTTGTCTGCACGTGTACAGCTCTGACCGCATGTGGACAACTTAAATCTTTCTCTTCTACAGACTATTTCGTAGCTGTTTACTTACCTGGTCATTTCTTTCATCTACTTAACATTCAGCACCCAGACCTGGTCTGCCACAGTTTGTTTCTGACAGGTATGGTTGTAGTTTTTCCCTCATGAACGTGGTCCATTTGGGTTTGTTTCGGCTTTAATATTTACGTTTGGGTGAGAAGGGGTTCCTTTATTTACTGATCTACTTTTTTTTTTTGCCAGGAAACAATGAAGTGGTTGATATGCTACCTCATGGTCCTTTACAGTCGCTGTCAGGGTCCCTGATTCTGGATTGGTGTTCTGGAAGGCTCTATAGGGCAGACCTCAACCGGTCGTATTTATTAGAGTTCCTGTGGGACGCCCGGCTGGACTGGGAGAAGATGGCTGTGCTGCATTGTGTGCTCTCGTGTCGCCAAGACACACGGTTCCTGGAAGCCAAGGTGGGCACGTGGCTTAAGTTTAAAAATTGGCAAATAGACAACACCAAATCTATATATTTAGTGGTTGAAATGAACAGGAGTTGTTTTTATTTGGTAACAATTAATTGAGGTCTGTTGAACGTATTTTTCTCTTGTGCTCCTTTTTTATGGCTCCCCACCAGACCTCAGACGGTGAGGGCGTGTCTGTTCTTCTGACTCCTCTCTTTTCCATGTTAGAATAAGTGTTAGCGGGGTCAGTAACATTCTAAGGAAGTGCTCCGTAGCAAATAGTGAGTTTCTCGATTGTCTACCTTTTCTCCTGGCCTGTATTTGGTGTCTGTCATCCAAAGGACTAAAATCTGGGGGCATATATTTATTACATTTTAAATAAAGATAGCTTACATTTACATCTATATTGCACATTGTAGTTTATGAAGCACTTTCACACATTTTGTCATTTAATTTTACGGCTATTCTGTGAAGTCGGAGAAACCTCCCTATTAGACTTGATTGGGACCAATTGGTCATTGGTTAATTGAAAAAAAGACATCTTAAACATTTTCTTTTAACCTAAGACATATAAATGTACATTTATTCATGCATCTTTTGTTGTAGGTTAAGGCTCTTTATTTGTATATTAGCTAATTGGAGTTCAAAATCATTTTTCTTATATAAAACCACTAGTAATGTGTTGTCTCTGACTTCCTGGTACTTTCTTTTTCTTTTTCTTTTTTTTCCCTGAGGAGATCAGTAATTTAAAGACCCTTTCAAAGCAATCTGTGTATATTGGGTAATTTTTCTCAGTCTTTTCTAGTTGTCTCACCTACATCTAGTTTTTTAGTGTTTTAGAGACACGCCTTTGAGTCTTTCCAAAGCATTCTAGCTTTTATCGACGCAACGCTTTTTTTACATCCATATTCCACTTGTTTATAGTAATTTTTATTAAATTACCTAACTGTGAAAATAAGTACAGCTTGCATGAATAGGTTTGGAAATAAAAACAACTTATTAGTAGGGGCAGAAATGTGAGCGTGCTCTGTGGCTAGGCCAGCATTCGAGTATCCATCAGTTCTAAGGGGGTGTGGATGGGGTGGGGGGCGGGGGGGGGGGCTTCATTCCTCCAGCAGGTGAGGATAGTTATGGAGATAGATTGAGAGGGTTGTTGACGTAACAGGGATTATCCACCCCTTGGGAGGACAGTACAGCGATGCTCACAAAGGTTGAATGGTAAGACAATGTTCGCCCTGATGACTGAGCTGGAATTCAAACCCAGGTCTGCTGCCTCCAAGCTTGGTTTGGTTTGTTTCCTCCTGTATCCCACAGCTCTTCAGGCTGGTGCTCTGCTGTTACATGGCTTCCTCTAGCAAAAACAAACATTGGGTTGAGGAAGGCTTATTTGGATCCCAGGCAAGGACATTTATTAAAAAGATGTATGAAAGGGACCTCATTTACAATGCTGTTTTATCCACACAGTCTTGTGTCATGTATCTTGAAGACAGTGTAGAAGTGAGTATATTCTTAAGCAATTCCAAAATAGATATAGAATGAAAAAGATGCATGTAGATATTGTACTTCTTTGTTGGTGACGGAAGGGCGCAGATTTAAATACCAACAAAATTGTCTTCTTGCTTTTTTAAGATTATTCAGTGGATTTCTGAGAACATCTCCGCCTGCCATTCATTTGACCTCATTCAGGAATTTATAATTGGTAGGTGTTGCCGATGTTCCATGTTAAGTTGAATCCTTGACCTTTTTGCTTAAGGGAAAGCAGTAAATTGATAATTCCTCAATCTGTCAAGATGCTGGTTAGGAGTGGTTTTTTTTTTTTTTTTTTTACTCTATTGCAGTCAGCAGCTAATTAAATTTCATTCTCTTGTGGTTTTGTGAGAAACTGTGGCTGTTCAGAGACCTATGAGAAAAAAAGATACAATCTTGATTCTGTAAACTTGTTAGTGATTTTTTTTCAGTAAGATATAACTTCGTTCAGTTTTGTGTTGGCTCTTTGTCTGTGAAGTGGTATAATGTCATTTCAATAGATACAAGTGCCGAATAACTATTTTTGAAATTATTCTCATTGTAAAAAGCAGAACCTGAACATTTTAATCAGTAGATAGAGCCATAAAGGTTAGCCTTTTGAGGATGAAGGATAAGGCAATGAAAACCTTTGTTGGTTTGCTTCTTTTGGTAAATTATAATGTTACTGCTTTATTCTTCTTATTAAGCCATGTCTTTTTTTTTTCTTTCAAAAATCTACTCAGCTTCTTCATATTGGAGCATATATCCAGAGACAGGTAACATGGATAAACTTTTGCCGTATTCCTCAGTGCTCACTTGGAATACAGTAAGTTAACATTTTGTGTTCCTTATGTAATTAAAATTGACTCACAGTTGTGGGTCAGCTGTAGGACATTCCTGTCGCAGCGACCAAGGTTGTGATTTCATTTCTGTTTTGACTGATAAGGAACTGAGCTGGAGTTTTCTGGCAGAAAAATAATAGTGTATCCTTGCTGTTGGCCAAAGGTATTTATATAAAACAGTAGAACTGAAGGAGAAGCTCAGGGTATATGTCACTCTTCCTACCGCCAAGCAGAACTAAGCCTCTATCATCTTCAAGTGGTATTTTTATTTTTTTAGCAACTAAAGTAGATTAAAATATTTCTTAGGTTATTGTAAGTGAGGAATGGCTGGACCACTGCTGTTACTCCGAGCTGTTCTATTTACTTAGTAGATTAGCACCTTTAAGACTCTTTTTCCCAGCTTTATAAAGAAAATCTGTAATAACTCTAGAATGTCAAACCAAAGTCAGTAATCTTAAGCAAACTCACTCCATTTAACCTTTTCTTCCTGTTGGTCCAGACTCCCTCCTTTTTAACTTGGAAGAGCTGAACTAGAACACTGTGCATTTCCTCTTGAACCTGGCGCGGTAAACTGAGCCGTGTTAGATGAGAAAGTGGAAACTGTGTACAGGCTGCCCCTGGAAAAGGTTCTGCCTCTTTGTTCATATTTAGATGTTAGAACTACATGCCTAGCCCTGAGGCAGAAGCTTGTATCAAAAAGGCATTTAGAAAAATAGATTAAATTCTGGTAATGCAGACATAGGGAAATCTGTCCTGGGTTGAATTGTGACACTTCCCATTTTGTATTTATACTATCTAGATACGGTCCTTGAAAAAGTCATATCAGGTGCGTTTGGTTAATTTCTAGATTTTTGGTATGCCTGATGGAAGCGTTTTCCTCAAGACCCCTTCTCATCTTTTACTGTTAGAGTTACTAAGCTTGCATGCCTCTCTGCAGAATTATCAGAGAAAGACCTGAGCTCATTCCTTCTCCAGGCCCTCACTTTTTTCTGTAAGAACCCTTGGGAATAGACACGCCGCCTCTGTGGTCAGGTGGCAGGAAGTTTGCAGGTTCAACCACCTGAGTCAGGAAATGACTCAGCCTGCTCCCTCAGCACCCGGGGCTCTGGGTGTCCCCCCCCCCCCGCCCCCCTCCTCGACCCCGCTCCGTGTGCTGTGCCCGGAGGTGGAAGCAGGACGTCTAGTTCCCAGGGTCGTGTGGAAAGGTGGGGTGTCATGTGAGTGTATCCTCCTGACAGGCCCCTCTTTACGGGTGCATTTCTCATGACTCTGGGCAGGTGAGCCGTTGAGGCCACACAGAGAGACATCAGGAAGTCCTACACGGCGTACAATGACAGAAACCCAGAGCCATAACCATCCTGGCCTGAGTGATCTCGGGGCCTGCCGCGTGGCTTTCAAGTTCTTGCGGTTGGCGTAGGTTACCTGAAACGTCTCGTCTGATCCTGAACTTCTAGGAGTCTGTGCTTATCTTTAGCCATGACGGAAGTCCTTTACTTTTCCTTTCTCTACTCTGCAAATGCTCTCAATACTACACCTCTAATAAACACTTGCCACAATAGAAAACATGAGTTTCACACTTCTGTACGGCGGCAGGTTAGTTCTGTAAATAACTGAACTGGATTTCTTAAGATACTAGAAAATACAGTGCTCTTACACGTTGATAATCCTGAATTATGCTATGCATACAATTAGCCGGTTTTACCTTTCTTAAGAGGCTCTTCATCGCCTAAAGCTGTGGTGAGATTTTCCTGCTGCTTTGAAGTGTTTCTGTTTCTGAGCGTGGTGATAAGTGACACACACAGTAGCTTCTGATCACAGGCTTTTTACTGTCATGGGAGAGCTCAGTTGCTTGAATGTTCTAGGAATTTATTTCTCCATTGCTGCAATGCCCCTTTTCAGAGAAATATTGTGTATCAGTAAAATCCAGGTTATTTAAGTTCTAAACAAATAGCAGATGTTATTTCTACGTGACGACTTCTAAACTACTTTCTCATATATAACTTGCTTTTTTAAGAAAGCGAATTATGAGTTGGGAGGCTAATATACATAACTAACGTAGACACACACTTTAAAAATAACAGTGAATGAAAGGTAATTTTGGAAGTTTATGCTTTTATTTAAATTTCTGTTTTAATGCTCACTAGTTGGCAGACTCTTCTAATTTGGACTTCCTGATAGGAATTGCACGTTTGCCATGGTGATCGTGCTGCCTCCCCTCTTTACGGGGATCTGTTCTCTCCGAAACTATGGCGGAGGATGAGGTACAGACAAGTTTTCCACTAGAGTCATGCAAGAATCTCATCAATCTTGGCTCCTTCTAGGGAGGCAGGGCCAACTATGATATGTTTAAGGGAAGGGGAAGAAGAAGGAAGGAGTACAAAAAATGGAACATATCCCCCTTATTAATACCCTTGATCCTGCAAGTGGAAATGTGTAAACGATACTCTGTTTGTTCTGTGTTGCTGCATAATCGCCCCTCCTTTTCTTTAGAGACACTGTCAACTATTGTAATCGTAACTTCAAAGAGTATTTCCCTTCCCGAGGTAAGAGATAGGCTGTGTTCACTGTTATTTGTAAACCCCAAGGTTTATTTAAAGTAGAGGTTAGCAGACTGGAAGCTGCCCTCAGCTTCTGTGGGCGCAGAAGACACTTCCTAGAGGCTTGAGCCTGTGGTAGTTGATAAGTTGAGCAGTTGTGTGTATGTTTTTCCCACCATAGGAAATTCCCGGAATAACCCTTGTGACGGAAGAGATCGCACTGCCTCTGATGAGGGTGAGTCCCTTACAGTGAGAGACAAAGGCACAGACACGCGTGGCTTCCTTGCTGGCCTCCGCGCTCGCCTGGAGTCAAACCTCGGCTGCCCCGAATACTGTGGTGGTTCCAAAGGGATTGTAAACTGTCAGGGTGAATGGGGGTAAGGGGGTGTGGTCGGTTCTCTAGAAAATCCTTCCTAAGTGGCTGAGTAGACACCACGGATGATATTACGGCCATTCTTAGGAATGCTCTTTGAAGAGGAGAGTTTTCTGAAGATGGAGAATTACAGGACTCGACGTAAACCTTATAGAACTAGTACTTTCTGCTGCTCCTCAAACCAGTCCATACTGGAAGAGTTCTTGTAAGGTGTCTGCAGAGGCCCGGGAAGCTGTTTTTTGCTTCATTAGAGCTGTCACCCGCTCAAAGCTCACCCACGCACACACACACATGGAATCTTGAAACTGGGACGGACCCGGGCTGGGATTGTCTGATTTCCTTGAGGTTCTGAGAGCAGCTTTTCTGTCTCTAGGGGGGTGACCCGCAGGTGCTCTGTGCGGTGGCAGGCGAGCCCGCCCCCCTCCCTATTGTCTGCTGAGCGGGCTCTGAGCATCTTCCTGCAGCTTCCCAGAGACCCTGAGGACAATGGGGAGGGGGAGAGGGGAGCGAGAGGAAGAGAGTGTCTGCAGTTGCACACGGGAGTGTTTTAGCACGTTCCCTTGAAGCCCTTTGCTGTTGGTGGCCTTGCTGCCCGGTGACCAAGGACTGGCGTGCTCTGGGAAATGTCAGCTCCTGGCAGCAGCGGCTCGGTGTGCTGTGGCTTTTATTTACATCTGCTTCTTTGGATCCAAGAGGGGCAGGCCAGGCCTGGGCAGAGGGGGACAGCCGTGGGCATTTGAGGTCACGGTCAAGCACAGGGATGGGGGTGAGAGAGGCCGATGGGAGCAGGGTTAGCGGTTCTGGGTTTGGTCGTCAGGAGGGTGCTTTGAGGAGGCAGCACAGCGATGTTTCTAGGCAGCAGCGTGAGGCCACTGTGAAGCTGTACAGAGGTGGGAAGATGAAGGGAAAAGAAAGCTTTCATCAACGGTTTCAAAGGTTCTTATTAAGAGCCTCCATGCTTTCATGTTAGTGTTTCCGCTTCTACCACTCATCCTGCCAAACCCACAGTGTGTTTCAGGGACCAACAACAAACTGGTGAAGAAAACTTTAAAGAGAAAGCAGTGTCACCCACAATTCTACAGTTCCTGTCCACATCACTGTCTGTTCCCCCATTTCCTCTCAGTGTTTGTCGTAGGTGTACGCATTTGCCTAGCAGTAACGGCCATGTAGAGGTGTTAATAAAGATTACAATTATAATGTATCATAACCATTTTTCACCATTGCTACATACACTTCAGACTTATGGTTTCTGATGCGGGCTCAGTGAGTCAAGGAATCGAAAGAAAGATTCCTTGGACTCTCAAGTTCTGGCAGTAGTGCTCTTTTATTCAGAGGATAGCATGGAATAGCATGGGGACAGGACCCATGGGCAATGAAGAGTTGCAGCATGGGACAGGACCCATGGGCAGTGAAGAGCTGCAGTGTGTTGAGGGTCAGAGCTAAATCTATCAGGCATAGGTATGTGAGTTATTTCTTTACAAGACAAAGGAAAGATCATGAAAAAAAATCATTAAAATGGTATCAGTGCAGGTGGGGTCTGGTTATATATAGGGTGATCCTATAACTTCAGATAAGAATCAGATGGGATTAAGTCAGGACACCCTATGTCCCCCACCGCCCTCCCCCGGCTCCCCCCAGGATGATATAGGTCAGTACGGAGGGCAGGACGCCTTGGGCTTCTTCCTGGGGCAGCCTCGATCCTCATCAGTTTCTAATGACCCCATAGGATTCTACTGAGTTGCTGTAACTTAATTTACTTAATCATTCTTCTGTCTGGGGACATTTGGTTTGTCCCCAGCTCTCATTTAAAAAAAAAAATTGCTATTACAAATAATGTTGCAGCAAATATTTTTATACAGACAGCTTTCTCTGGATTTATTCCCCTAAGGTTGAGTGCCCAGGAGTGTTACTGGGTGAAAGGCTATGACAGTATTTATAGCCTTTGATTCTTATTGCCAAACTGATATTCAGAAAAAGTTGTGATAAGGGATGTTTCAAAGGATTTATGAGTTTATCAGTTTTACTGTAACCTTATCAACATCATGCATTTTCATTTAAAAAATTAAGTGTAAAAGAGTGAAGGAAAGGTCCCCTTGAACTTGTTACCCTTGACTTATTCCAGGAATCCAGTTTGCCTTTGCTGAGGAACAAAGTAGCCTATTTTTGCACAGTCTGGTTTGGTTTTTTTTCTATTTGTGTGGAAGTGCGTGTAAAGCGCTGTTTTTTTATGTTGTGTGTGTTTTTTCCTCCTCTGACATTCACTCTGCCTTCTCTCCCCTTTTTTCTCCTCTCCCCTGATTCTTTTCAGCATTCTGCCCTGCAGACAGTGCTTTGCCAGTTAACCATCCCCAAACACACTTGGGAGCTCTCTGGCCACCCCACCTGTACCCGTATGCCACTAGGGAGGGTTGCCTCGGGCAGATGTGAGCCGCAGATCTCGTCTCGGGCCTCTCCACAAGACACGACTCTCAGGGACGGCAGGGGCACGCTGCTGGGCTCAGGAGAAGGTGGCGCTGGATGTGGGTTGCCCCACACCCCTCACCCCAGTCCCTCAGCTGGGAGACTATAATCGGTACCTTCCGTTCACAGGACACCTGACCCTGATAACCTCTCCTTTGTTTCCCCATCTCTGCTTGCATGACACCCCTCCCTGTGAGCTGCTGCCTTTGACCTACTCTTCTCCCCCAAGTCCCCGCTTAATTATATTGTGACGGACCTGGTTGCAGTGGCACATGCCACCCTCTGCGCCTCCCTCTCCAGCCCCACTTATGTGAAGGTTCTTGTCCTGCCTACCTGAGAGGAGCTGGTGCTGAGCACCTGTGCCCTGAATCACGAGTTACCTTTTGTGTGCTCTTGCTGCCAGACTTGGCCCGAGGTGCAAGGGAGCCCCGTTACTCTGACCACACTTGCTTCCACTCTCCTTGGCAGAGGAGAGCCGATAAGGAGCCGAAATAGAAGTAGATATGCTCTTTCCTCCGGCGCTCTCTGCCGAGAATTGTGGCATGAGGTGGAGCACTTGACAAATGTTTAATATGTGAACATGTTAGGATGTAGAAACCAGTTAAAGTAGAAGATTGTCACCTGAAAGACAAAAGGCTTCCTCACTCTATAAAATGGTTTCCAGAAAAATTTTTAAAACTTAGACAAGTATATGGAAACAAGGTCCCTGCCTTAAAAGGAATGTCATCAAGAATGACCTTCCTAAGAATGTTTTTATCCCTTCTTAAAACATGGTTTTCTCCAGGAAAGGGGCAACTTTTTAAAAGGTTCAAAATTACCCTTGATTTTATAGTTGGAAGAGAAACTGTTAAAACTGTCCACCCACAGGAAACATGTAAGGATTAAAAAAATAGAAACAATAACTTACTTGAATATAAAGATAAAAGTTGAATGAACATGCCACAAATGGTGAAATGGAGTTTTTTTTTATCCAAGTATTTTTTAAGCTAGATATCTTCAGTTTCATTTGATAAAATAAGGAAGCCTTTTATTTAGTTGTTTAAGTATGCTTCTTCACTTAAAAAAGTGTTTAAAACATACTGTTTTAATTGGGCAGAGCATGAGTATAATTAATTGCTTAGTGAAACATGGCAGACACCTTTTTCCTTGACCCCCCCCCCATGCAGACAACCACCATCACTTAAATAAAAGGTTAACGACGCAGAGTATCAACACAATCACAGTGTAATAGCTTACAATTTTTAAAAATTAGAGTTGTTGCCTTGACAACAATGTAGCATTACCAGAAATGTCAGTGGGTTATGTGGGAAATATTAATTGATTTTCCAAAGTTCAGTTTGTATAATGATATGGTGATTTAACTAGACTTGTATATTCGGTCTTCATCCATGGTTCCTGGTACAGGGCTCCTAAAATCCAGGTAATTTCCTAAGTGATAAGAGCTATAGGGGCATCTTTTGTTCTAATATTTCGTGTTTGTTCCCAGTTCCTGAAATAGCTCCAGAGTACAAAGGTGAAAAGAATGTCTTTTGTTATTTATAAAACGCCCCTTTCAACCACACCAGAGTTTATGTTAAGGAGGTGACTTCTGGAAAGCACCTCAGGACGGGGGGGCTGGTTGCCAGGAGAACCAACAGCGTGATTGGAGGGCTGGAACTTTCTGCCCCCTCCCCTGCCAGGGGGCAGTGGCTGGCGATTGAGTTCAGTCACCAATGGCCAATGATTTGATCAATCCTGCCTCTGTGATGGAGGCTCCTTAGAGAACCCTAACTGAAGGGATTTGGAGAGCTTCTGGGCTGGATGATCCCGTGGAGGTTCAGGGAGGGCAGTGGCCCTGGAGAGGGCGCGGAATCTCGAGCCCCTTCCCCCGTGTTCTGCCCTATGCATCTCTTCCCTCTGGTTGTTCCTGAGTTGCATCCTTTTATGGTAATCCAGTATACAGTAAGTAAACTGTTTTCCAGATTTCTATGAGCCACTCTAGCAAATTATTGAGCTCAAGGAGGGGATCCTGGGGACCTCCGATTTATAGGCGGTCAGTCAGAAGCACAGGTGACAACCCCGACTTGTGATTGGCATTTGACAATGAGGGCAGTCTTGTTGAACTGAGCCTTTAACCTGTGGGATCTGACACTCTCTCCAGGACTGAGTTGAATTGTAGGACACCCAGCTGGTGTTGGAGATTTGACGGATATGGGGGAAAAAAACCGTACACATTTGGTGACCAGAAGTGGAGTATTCTGTGAGTAAACTCACAAGATAACAACAGTTTTTCCAATATAACGTATTTTCTGGGACAGTGAGTTTTGGCAAGTTCAGTTAGTATTGTAAAACAAAATCTTATGATGCTACAGAGAAAGATGAGTTAGACACAGAGCAGTAGGCTGGGTGAATTCATTCCTGTC